GACAGGATCTCCCTCTGTTGCCCGGCTGGAGCTGAGCAGTGAGGTCATCATAGCTCACTGCAGCTTTGAACTCCTAGCCTCTCAGAATGTTGGTTCCAGTCACAGCCACCATGCCTGGCCTCTTCTAAGATTTTTTTTTTTTTTTTTACCATTCTCGTTGGATTATCTGTTTCAGATGACTTTAGGATCAGCTTATTAAATTCTTTGGAAAATTCTATGGATTTTGATTGGGATTACATAAGTTTACAAAGTAGCTTGTAAAGAATTGACATCCTAGCACTCTGGGAAGCTGAGGCAGGAGGATCGCTCAAGGTCAGGAGTTCGAAACCAGCCTGAGCAAGAGCGAGACCCCATCTCTACTAAAAATAGAAAGAAATTAATGGCCAACTAAAAAAAAATAATATATATAGTATATATATTATATATATATAATATATAAATTAGCCAGGCATGGTGGTACATGCCTGTAGTCCCAGCTACTCCGGAGGCGAAGGCAGGAGTTGCTTCGAACCCAGGAGTTTGAGGTTGCTGTGAGCTAGGCTGACGCCACGGCACTCACTCTAGCCTGGGCAACAAAGCGAGACTCTGTCTCAAAAAAAAAAAATGTGGTCTTGCACGTCTCTTTTTCTTTCTGTCTTTTTTTTGATACAGGGTTTCACTCTGGCCCAGGCTGGGGTGCAGTGGCGTCATCACAGCTGGCTGCAGCCTCCACCTTCTAGGCTCCAGTGTCCTCCTGCCTCAGCTTCCCCGTCGTCCCTGGGACTCCAGGCGCCACCTCTCCAGGCTCACATTTCTTTTCAGGCTTGTTTCTGAGGAGGTCACAGTGTGAATGACATCTGCAGAGAGACGCAGGTTCCACTCTGGGCGGGGACACACAGCGATTGAATGTCACCAGCAACCACGGTGGCCGCAAGTAACTGTCGGAAAGTGGGGAGTCCTGGAGGAACAGACAAGAGAGCAGGGGATGCTCTGGCCCCCCGGCGCGCGGTGGGCGGGCGGGGCGTCCCGGGGCTGGGGTCTCTCCCAGACCTGGGCGGCCTGGTCTCTGGGGGCGGCTTCCCAGGCCGCTCACTCACACCCGAATCCGGTCCCTGGCCGAGGACTGCACCCTAGGCCCGCCCCCTCTCCCGGCCCCGCCCTCCCCATGCGGCCCCGCCCTCGCCCAGGCCCCGCCCACCGTTCACGGACCCGCCTTCTGCTCCCGGCCCCGCCCTCCTCTCACAGCCCCAACCTCCCCACAGGGCCCGCCCTCCCTACAGGCTCCTCCCTCCTCACCCGGCCCCGCCCTCTTCTCACGGCCGGCCTTCGGCTCCCGGCCCCGCCCCCCGCCCCCTCCTTCCGCTCCCGGCCCCGCCCTCCTCTCAAGGCCTCGTCTTCTGCTCCCAGCTCTGCCCTCTTCATCCGGCCCCATCTCTTCTTTCCCGGCCCCGCCCTAAGCCCCGCCCCCAGCTCGAGCCCGCCCCAGGCCGCCCTCAACACCTAAGGCCCGTCCCCCGTTCCCGGCCCCGCCCTCCTCTCAGGCCTCCCCCACAAGGCTCCTCCCTCCGTAACCCCGGCCCCGCCCTCCTCTCACGGCCCCGCCTCTGATCACGGCCCTGCCCTCCTCTATCGGCCCCCTCCCTCCTAGGCCGTGAGGGAGGAGAGGCCCCACCCCAAGTTCGAGCCTGCCCCAGGCCGCCCCACCCTAGGTCCCGCCCCACGCTAGGCCCAACCCTGGGGGGGGGGGTGTCCATCCTAGGCCCCGCCCCCGGTTCGAGCCAGCCCCAGGCCGCCGCAACACCCAAGGCCCGCCCTCGGCTCCCGGCCCCTCCCCAGGCTCCGCCCACAGCTCGGTCCGTCCGGGCCGTGCTCAGCACCCAAGGCCCGCCCTCCGCTCCCGGCCCCGCCCTAGGCGCGCCCACAGCTCCAAGCCCCGCCCCGCCCCCTCCTGCTGCGGGAGCGCGCTGCAGGAGAGGCCTGGTGGCTCGCGGTGTTGAGGCCCCGCGGCCGCTCCGGCCCGGAGGTCGCCGGTTCGAGTCCTCGCATTCTCAACCCGGTCCCTGTGTCCGTCCCGGTCCCGCGGGCACAGCCGTTGCGAGCGGCGCGGCCCCCGCGCGTGCGGCGAATCTGCAGCTGCGAATCTGCGGCTGCGAATCGCGAGAGCGGCGGGGCCTGGGCGAGAGCGGCGGGGCCTGGGCGGGCGCAGCGGGGACTGGCGGACGCGCGGCGACACCGCGACCCAGCACCGCGGGCCTAAGGCGGGCGCCGGGCCCGCGCGGCCGCCGGCACCATGACGGGCCGCGTGTGCCGCGGCTGCGGCGGCACCGACATCGAGCTGGACGCGGCGCGCGGGGACGCGGTGTGCACCGGCTGCGGCTCGGTGCTCGAGGACAACATCATCGTGTCCGAGGTGCAGTTCGTGGAGAGCAGCGGCGGCGGCTCCGCGGCCGTGGGCCAGTTCGTGTCGCTCGACGGTGCGTCCGGCGCGGCGTGCGGGGGACCCCGAGGGACACAGACGGGGCGTGCGGGGCCGGGGGACTCTGGGGATGGCGGCGGCGTGCGGGGCCCGGCGGACCCTGAGGGGACACTGACGGGGCGTGCGGGGCCGGGGGCCCTGCGGGGACAGAGGGGGCGCGCGGGCCCCTGGAGCCGCGCGGATAACGGATTCTACGGTGGGACTTTGAGGCGGCGGCGGCCTGGCTCTGGGGACACCCGCCGTCCTCTGCGCAGAGCAGCGGCCAGAGCCGGGCGTCCACAGACCGGCCGCCGCCGCAGGGAGCCTGGGGGAAAGTTCTGCCAGCCCAGGGAGTCCCTGGAGCGTCCCCTCCCGCCGCTCCTCCGCACCCTCGTTCTGTGTTGGGGGGTGTCTGACGCGAGGGTCACCGGGTTGGTGGCCTTTGGGACTGGCTCTGTCACCGGCCTCACGCAGCAGCCCCGGCCGGTTGCTGTGGACCGCGGGCCCTTTGTGTGTCGGTCCCGGCCGACGGTGTGTCGGGGGCGGGACCGGGGACTGTGGAAGGGCGCTTTGGGTTGTGGCCGCTTTCAGGTGTTTGTGACAGAGCTGCCGAAAGCGTGCGTGTGTGACTTTCCGTGTGGACGTGTTTTCATTCGTCTGCGGAAGTCAGCTGTACTTTGTTTAACTTTGCAAGAAACCGTCCAACTTTTTCCATGTGCTGTGCCATTTTTGAATTCTCACCAGTTGTTCCACATCTGCGCCAGCACTTGGTCTTGTCAGTGTTTTTTATTTTAATCATTTTAATAGCCGCGTGGTATCTCATCGTGCTGTTAATTTGCATTTCCCTAATGACTAGTGATGTTAAACGTCTTTTAACGTGCGTATTTGCTATTCCTGACTCCTCTTTGCTGAAATGTCCGTTGAAGTCTTTTGCTCATGTTTTGGGTTGTTTTCTTACTGTTGTGTTTTTTGAGTTCTTTGTGTAATCTAGTTGCAAGTGCTTTGTAGTGTATATGATTTGCAAAGCAGAAGTTGTTTTTTTTTTTTTGAGACAGAGTCTCGCTTTGTTGCCCAGGCTAGAGTGAGTGCCGTGGCGTCAGCCTAGCTCACAGCAACCTCAAACTCCTGGGCTCGAGTGATCCTTCTGCCTCAGCCTCCCGGGTAGCTGGGACTACAGGCATGCGCCACCATGCCCGGCTAATTTTTTATATATATA